GCCATTCTGAAATAAGTACTTAAAGTTATTTTTCTTGAAACACAAAACATTAAATAAAGAAGTAAAGCAAACAATTATCTCTTCTAGTTATGACCTTTGTACTCGGTTGCTGCTTAATGTAGGTTGCTAAGCCTTTAAAAATTTTGCATGTGGAGGATATGAAACAAAATAATTTTTTAGGTTTACATATATACAATCAATTAACTAAAAAATCACATATTACTACATCAATACCATAGAATTCCACTATAATTTATCAAGCTTAATAAACTAAGATGCATTTTAGTCTAAAAAAATATGAAATTTCAAACAGACTAAAGGCATAACCTACCTCCTTGAAATATTGTTTCAAAAGAAGGAGATGGCATCATAACACTATGGCAAACAGACTATGGCATCCGGAGAATTTAAAATGGCTGAGAAAACCACTAGGGGGACATTCTGAGCTTCCGATTGGTTATTCACGTCATATATAGAAGTGTATATAAGGGAGCATTTCCAAAAATGGAAAGAGATAGGCGGGGTGCACTGTGTTTGACTTATTACATGAGTAATATCTTAGTAAATAGAAAACATAAGAGACTCTTATTTTATATTCTACCTTGTCAATATCAATAATTTGAGTTTCTAATTTGTACAAACTATACTTAGTATTTTGACTTCACAACCAACTAATTGATATTTATGTGTTTTTTAATATTTACTTTAAGATTAAGAAATTGAGCTATGTATAGTACTAAAATTTGAATTATAATCTACAGTTTGACACCAAACTTATTGACATAAATTCATGAAATAGTAGTTCAATAAAATATTGAATACGAGTCAATAAACAAGATGACATGGACTTTCACCAGTGACCCGTCTTGAAAGGGTTAAAGTTTTTATAGTTTTGGTTCTACTAATTTCTAATATAGTAAAGGTATCTTCACAAAATTTTTAATACACTACAAAATGATTTGTCCATGAACATAGTTTTTTTTACCAGTCCAAGTGTACAGTGATTTTCATGTTAAGATTAAAATACTTTTATTCATCTCAAAAATCTCAAATTTCATTTGCGTAATCTCTAAAACCTCCTTAATACATTTCAAACTTTTTTGAGTAAAACTCTATACAGGTTGATCAATTTCATGACCTTGTAACCACCAAAAAATAATTGAAATAAATCTAAATTACCCTTTCTTTCTAGAATGACTTTAAATTGTAACATGGAACTACATTTGTTTATCCTAAGCAGCTTTAAACATGTAACAGTATACATCTATTTATACTGAAATCTTATTGTTTTGTTGCCATTTGAACTATGTCTAACTGCTATTCACACCATTATAAACTGTAAATCACTTGGGGAATATGGGGCTCACATTACACTATCAAATTACATTACCCACGAGCTACTCCAAGGTGCTCACGTGCATTCCTCATGAAAAATTATTACATTTTTATTTATTGTACCTAATCTCACCTTAACTAACCTAAAGAAATTCCTATTTTTACATTTTAGCTACTTTTAAAATAATAATTAAAGAATACATATGAAAAACAAGAAATAAAGTGCTTACCTGGACTATCCTTTTTTGCTGTCAATTGTTGACGACACTTAACCCTACTTTTTTATACTAATGTTAGTAGTAGTAGTGCATATAATAATTTTCATTTGAAAAAATAATAATCCAAAGAACATAGAGTAATAACATGCAAAAAAGGAGACAATGTCTCATATCTATCACAATTTCTCTGGTTTTCTAACTATGCGACAAGAGTCATTACAAATTCATCCAAGTTAGTTGATATGTTTCCCATGGGAACAAAGCTTGTACTAAAAGTGAAATTGACAATTCTCTGTACAGAAAACAACATAATATAATACATCATTATATAGATGAAAACCTCGGCTTTCTATTGGTTATAAATAATACAGTATTATACGTAAGAGAAATCTATAAAGAAATCCTGAAAGAGAGGATGTGACAGGTGAGTGTGGCAAGAAGGGTCTGATTTTCCATTTGATCTCTCTGTAACTAACCAAAATTGAAGGCTATGAAACTTACGATTCGTCTGAGTGATGATGATGATATTATAATGAATAATTTAATTAAATTTTGTACTTATTGGAGGGGTGGTGAATAAACTAGAGAAGAGGGGATGCCTACAGAAAAAATGTCACATTTTTCACAAAAAGGGAAATTCAGAATTTTTTAATACTGCTTCATTAAATTAAGAACTTAAAAGTAATATACTAATAAAAAATGAATTATAAGCAACAACTTTATGCTATACTAATTGCTATAATGTAAATAAAAAGTAGTTTAATTAAATTTTGAATGTCACTCACTAAAAACTTTGTAACATGTGCAGTAAAGGATGCCCATGGTGAGAGGGTTAAACTACCCCAATGAAATCACAATCTACATCTAAGCCTACTTCAACTGGCCAAGTAAAAACTTAAAATATACTTCCAGCACTTTGAATTACCTGTTGAAAATACAAGACTGAGATTAGGTTCTGGTATATATTAGCAGTGTGGGTTTCACCAAACTCTACATTGAAAGCCAGGTTCTGGTAAATATTAGAAGTTGTGAGTTTATCGAAACTGTACCTTAAGAATAAGTTTTGATAAATGCTAGCAATGTGGGTTTAACCCCTCCATATGATGACTCCAATGTTGGTGTCATCATGCTTAAGTTTATGTTTAAGAAGGAAAACATTCCGTGATGCTAATCACAGCATTATTGAATGTCTTGTAATGCTCTTCAATATAAATGATGTCATTTTTATTGACCAATCAGAATGTTTCATAAAATATGTGATGCATAATTGATTGAAATAATAACAGGGTGGTGTCAGTTGCATGCGGATGTTAACTGAATGGTAACTAGCTATAAATATGTCTCATTTTGGATACATTTACAAATTGTTTGAGTAAAATAATATGTCAAGTAATGAGGGTACGAATGACAGTGGTTGTGAATATGTACCAGATGAAAGTGATATGGAGTTTGATTGCAGTGATAATTTTCAATTTCAAGACTCGCCTCAACCTAATGAAATGGCTGGAAGATGGAAACGTGTTCCTAATGTGTTTGATGATGCTAGACCTCAACTGAAGCTGCCATTAGTGTGTAATTTCAGTGGGATCAACCCCACAGCCGGCTTTCCAGATAACATGAGAGTTTTAGAGTGTGTGAAAACGTTTATTACGAGTCAAGTTATAAACCATATTACTTTCTGTGTAAATGATAAAGCAAGGCTTTTTTGATGCTAATCCACAAGCTAATGGAATTGTAAATAGTATCCAGTGGAAAGACGTCACTGAAAATGATATATTTACGTTTCTTGCTCTTGAACCAGTATTGGGCAAGAATGTCCTAAGAACCAGGCATTCATTTTTTGTGCTGCTATAATGAGTAGAGACAAGTACATATCAATTATGAAATTTTTACACTTTACCAAAGTAACTGATGTGAACAAAATGTACCTTCTACATGCTTGGATGCTTTATGTGAGCTTTTGAGAAAAATGTTGATGAAAAATGTGGATGCAGGAGAACATATTTCAATGGATGAGGCATTAGTTTTATGGAAAGGTTGGCTAGACTCTCGCCAATTCATAAAAACTAAATACACAAGATTTGGCAGCAAATTATCTGTCATATGCAACAGTGAAAAGTATTGGTGTGGATACAACTATAACTTTAGGGGGTACTATGGAAAAGACCCCAACAACCAATATTCTTTGCCTGATGTTGAAGGAGTAAATGAACTTGCATCTATTAAAAACATAGTTGACCATTTATTAAAATCTGTTCTTGGACAGGGGTGTCATTTAATCGTGGACAACTGGTATGCAAGTACTCCATTGGCACACTTTTTGGAGACTCAAAATATAATGATGACAGCAACAATTCGCACAAATAGAGGAATCCCAAAAGAGCTTGCTAATGAGCATCTGGAGCATTATGACACGGTTTTCCTTCGTAAAGACAATGCTCTGATAGTGAAATGGGAAGACCAAAGAGCAGTATATGTGATAACCACAAATTATTCAACTGGTTTTGTTGAAAAGGATAAAACTTACTTTGGGAGACTAGAAAATCTTACAAAAAAAACATACCACATAGAAAAGTATAATGTATACATGAGAGGAGTTGATAAAGCAGATCAGTTGCTGGAGCCTTTTGACCCAAGCCATAAATCCCATGTGTGGTTCAAGAAGCTAGGCCTACACTTGCTGATGCATATGCTGATAAATAGTTTTCTCGTTTACAAAAATATCGTTAAGGAAAAATTTACTTTCAAGTGGTATATCATAAAGGTCATACAGCAACTGGTGGAAACGCATAATTCAGAAGGAATTGCTACTCAAGAGAAATTCATTACCAGGAATCATCATGCAGGTTGCAAGCAAAAGCCTAAAAAAAGCTGTCCATGCTTTAGTTCCTATTCCATCTTTGCCTGGTAGTTCAAACATGCATCCAAAAAAATGATGCATAGTGTGTTATCCAAAACGGAAGGAAACAGGAAAGTGATGCAACAGATTTCCTGAAAAACCAGGCCTATGCAGTACAGAACACTTTATATGACATAATAAGTAGGATTCTTCTAATTACGTAAGTTTACTAAAATTAATTTATATATTGATATATTCTTAAAAGAGGACAAGTTATATTAGTAATATGTTTATAAATATGCTTATAAAGACAAAACATAAAAATTAATTATTTTATTGGTAGGTAGGTAAAAGTTGTTTTGTGCTACATACGACAATTTTTGCGATTTGTATGGAAAAAGTTAAACAAATTTTACCTGGAGAGCTGGGTTCAGGTAAATTTTCTCTTGGTACTAGGTGCATAACTGTTGTCCTCCCTAGTGGAAGCTGTAGGGCTACAAGAAACAATCAATGATCTCAAAACTATGAATTAACCATACATATAAATTGGTCAATGTAATAATCAAAATGAATTCCTTAAAAGCTATCTATATCAGAAAATGTCATTTATTGTCAATTAAGTTACCAGTTGTCTAGTTCTGCTAGAAAATGTTGCACTTTATCAACAAGTTCTCAGTTTGTTATAAAATGTCACATATTGTCATCAAGTTTGTCACATAATGTCAGTTAGCATCAACAAGTTACCAGTTGTCTAGTTCTGCTAGAAAATGTTGCACTTTATCAACAAGTTCTCAGTTTGTTATAAAATGTCACATATTGTCATCAAGTTTGTCACATAATGTCAGTTAGCATCAACAAGTTACCAGTTGTTTAGTTTTGTCATATAATATAAGTTAACATTAACAAGTTTTCAGTTGTCAGTTACCTGTTCTATAGTTTTGGCATATAATGTAAGATAACATAAAAAATTTACCAGTTGTCTAGATTTGTCACATAATGTTAGTTAACATCAACCAGTTACCAGTTGTCTGGTTTTGTCACATAATGTCAGTTAGCATCAACAAGTTATGAGTTCTCTAGATTTGTCACAGAATGAAAGTTAGCATCAACAAGTTACCAGTTGTCTAGATTTGTCACATAATGTTAGTTAACATCCACTAGTTACTAGTGGTCTAGCTTTGTCACATAATATCAGTTAACATTAAAAAAAGTTATCAGTTCTCTAGTTTTGTCACAGAATGACAGTTAGCATAAACAAGTTATCAGTTCTCTAGTTTTGTCACATAATGTTAGTAAACATTAACAAGTTACTAGTTGTCTAGCTTTGTCATGTAATATCAGCTAATATTAACAATTTATCAGTTCTCTAGTTTTGTCACAATGTCATTTAGCGTCAACTAATTACCCTTGTTTGGTTTTGTCACATAAAGTCAGTTACCCTGAACAAGTTACCAGTTGTCTAGCTTTGTCACATAATATCAGCTAACATTAACAAGTTACTAGTTGTCTAGCTTTGTCACGTAATATCAGCTAATATTAATAAGTTATCAGTTCTCTAGTTTTGTCACATAATGTTAGTTAAAATCAACAACTTACCAGTTGTCTAGTTTTGTTACAAAATGTCAGTTATGATCAACAATTGACCAGTTGTCTAGTTTTGTCACATAATGTCAGTTAACATCAACAACTTACCAGTTGTCTAGTTTTGTTATAAAATGTCAGTTAACATAAACTAGTTACCATTTATCTAGTTTTGTCATAAAATGTTAGTTAACACCAAATAGTTACCAGTTGACTAGTTTTAGTACAAAATGTCACTTATTGTCAACATGTTACCAGTTGTCTAGTTTTTCACATAATGTCATTTAGCATCAATAAGTTTTCATTTGTCAGTTACCTGTTCTCTAGGTTTGTCACATAGTGTACGTTAACATCAAAACGTTACCAGTTATTTACTTTTGTTGCATAATGTTAGTTAACATCAACTAGTTACTAGTTGTCTAGATTTGTCACATAATGTCAGTTACCATTATCAAGTTACTAGTTGTTTATTTTTTTCATATAATGTCAGTTAACTTCAACTAGTTACCAGTTCTCAAGCTATGTCACATTATGTCAGTTAACATCAACAAGTTACCAGTTGTTTACGTTTGTTGCATAATGTTAGTTAACATCAACTAGTTACCAGTTGTCTAGTTTTGTTACATAATATTAGTTAACATCAACTAGTTACCAGTTGTCTAGTTTCTCACATAATATCAGTTAACATCAACTAGTTACCAGTTGTGTAGGTTTGTCACATAATTTCAGTTAACATCAAGTATTTACCTGTTCTCTAATTTTGTCCCATAATTTTAATTAACATCAACTAGTTACCAGTTGTCTAGTACTGTCACATAATGTCACTAGATACTAGTTGTCTAGTTTTATCACATAATGTCAGGTATTATCAAGAAGTTACCAGTTCCTTAGTTTTGTCATATAATGTCAGTTAACATCAAGTTAGCAGTTGTCTAATTTGTAACATAATGTCGGTTAACCTCAACTATTTACCAGTTATGTAGTTTTGACACATAATTTCAGTTAACATTATCAAGTTACTACTTGTCTAATTTGTAACATAATGTCGGTTAACCTCAACTATTTACCAGTTATGTAGTTTTGACACATAATTTCAGTTAACATTATCAAGTTACTACTTGTCTAATTTGTAACATAATGTCGGTTAACCTCAACTATTTACCAGTTATGTAGTTTTGACACATAATTGCAGTTAACATTATCAAGTTACTAGTTGTCTAATTTTGTTACAAACTGTTACTTAACATCAACTAGTTATCAGTTCTATAGTTTTGTCACATAATGTCAACAAGTTACCAGTTTTCTGGTTTTGTCATAGAATATAAGTTAACATTAACAAATTACTAGATGTCCACTTTCATCACATAATATCAGTTACCATCATCAAGTTGTCAGTTCAAATGTTTTGGCATATAACATAAAAAATTTACCAGTTGTCTAGATTTGTTACATAATGTTAATTAACAAGAACTAGTTACCTGTTATATAGTTTTGTCACAAAATATAATTTTACATTAACAAGAACTAGTTACCTGTTATATAGTTTTGTCACAAAATATAATTTTACATTAACAAGTTACTAGTTGTCTAGTTTTGTTACAAAATGTCAGTTAGGATCAATAATTGACCAGTTGTCTAGTTTTGTCACATAATGTTAGTTAACATAAACAACTTACCAGTTGTCCAATTTTGTTATAAAATGTCAGTTAACATAAACAACTTACCAGTTGTCTAATTTTGTTATAAAATGTCAGTTGACATGAACTAGTTACCAGTTGTCTAGTTTTGTCACATGTCAGTTAGCATCAACAAGTTACCATTTATCTAGTTTTGTCATATAATGTTAGTTAACACCAAATAGTTACCAGTTGTCTAGTTTTAGTACAAAATGTCACTTATTGTCAACAAGTTATCAGTTGTCTAGTTTTGTCACCTAATGTCAGTTAACATCATCAAGTTACTAGTTGTCTGATTTTGTCATATAATGTTAGTTAACAATGACTGGTTACGAGTTGTCTGATTTTGTCATAAAATGTTAGTTAACAATGACTGGTTAAGAGTTGTCTAGTTTTGACACATAATGTCAGTTAGCATCATCAAGTTACCAGTTGTCTAGTTTTGTTGCAAAATGTCAGTTAGGATCAACAATTTACCAGTTGTCTAGTTTTGTCACATGATGTCAGTTAACATGAACTAGTTACCAGTTGCCTGGTTTGTCACATAATGTAAGTTAGTATTAACTAGTTACCAGTTGTTTAGTTTTGTCACATACCAGTTAATATCAACTAGTTAGCAGTTATCTAGCTTTGTCACAGAATGTCAGTTACCATGAACCAGTTACCAGTTGTTTAGCTCTGTCAGAAAATGTTACTTATTGTCCACAAGTTACCAGTTGTCTAGTTCTGTCAGAAAATGTCACTTATTGTCCACAAGTTACCAGTTGTCTAGCTTTGTCGGAAAATGTCACTTATTGTCCACAAGTTACCAGTTGTCTAGTTCTGTCGGAAAATGCTATTTATTGTTCACAAGTTACCAGTTGTCTAGCTTTGTCAGAAAATGTCACTTATTGTCCACAAGTTACCAGTTGTCTAGCTTTGTCGGAAAATGTCACTTATTGTCCACAAGTTACCAGTTGTCTAGTTCTGTCGGAAAATGCTATTTATTGTTCACAAGTTACCAGTTGTCTAGCTTTGTCAGAAAATGTCACTTATTGTCCACAAGTTGTCTAGCTCTGTTAGGAAATGTTACTTATAGTCCACAAGTTACCAGTTGTCTAGCTTTGCCGGAAAATGTTACTTATTGTCCACAAGTTACCAGTTGTCTAGTTCTGTCGGAAAATGTTATTTATTGTCCACAAGTTACCAATTGTCTAGCTGTGTCAGAAAATTTCATTTACTGTCCTCAAGTTACCAGTTGTTTAGCTCTGTCAGAAAATGTTACTTATTGTCCACAAGTTACCAGTTGTCCAGCTTTGTCGGAAAATGTCACTTATTGTCCACAAGTTACCAGTTGTCTAGTTCTGTCGGAAAATGTTATTTATTGTCCACAAGTTGTCTAGCTCTGTTGGGAAATGTTACTTATAGCCCACAAGTTATGAGTTGTGTAGCTCTGTCGGAAAATGTCACTTAATGTCCACAAGTTACCAGTCGTCTAGTTTTGTCACATAATGTCAGTTAACATGCGTCATGTTGAAGTTATGATGACATAGGGCAATATCACAGCTTTCTAGTTTTGATTACATGAGCTGTGTCACAATCTTCTAGCTTCGATCATCTAGATCGAGGTCACAGTTTTCTATCTTTGACCATGTGGTTCCAAAATACAGTTTCTAGTTTCCTTAAGACTATTACCTCTGAGATAACTTTACTGTTCTTGATACACACAACAGTCACAGTAATATGAAGGGCTCTCCTGTAGTAGTTCTAACAGACTATCTACTTACCTCCTAGAGTAACATTTCCATGCAAGAACCTCCCTTGATAAATCAATCTTAAAATCTCTGCCTTCGATACACCTTCATCTGCCCATTCTACACAAAAAAAAAAAGAAAAGATTTCTACTTCAACATTTTACTGACTAACCATCATGTACCATTCTGTACAAGGAAAAGTTCTGCTTTTAACATTTTACCAACACATCATCATTTCCCCATTTTTGTACAATGAAGACTCCTACTTTTAACATTTTACCAATACATCTTCATCTACCCATTCTGTACAAGGAAGACTTTCACATTAACATTTTACTACCACATGTTATGACTATAAGAACAAGCTGAATGGTAATGCCTATTATGATCCCCACTTTAAATTATAAAATGTAAAATATTTTGTAGTTTTAAATCAACTTCAAACATTTTTTATTTCAAAGTTAAAGCAGATCACTTTGTGAATCAATACTACACTAATTTTATTGTTTGTTTGTTTTAGAGCAAAGCCACATTGGGCTGCCTGCTGTGTCCACCACAGGGAACCAAACCCCAGATTTTAAGTATATTGACTACAGCCAGCCTTGACAAATATTTTCAGATCTAAGAACCATCCAAAAAACTCAGGAGATAGGTATGCCTAACCTAACTTTACTACTGTTTGTACCAGGAAATGGGGGCTACATTAGTGCCTCAATTATCCATACCTCTGTTATCCACGATCCTCGTAGTTTATCTTTTCACTAAATTTTTATTATTATTTTTAATAATTGTGCCATTAGAATTCTAGACAATAATTTACATGGTATCACGATATCACCAACAATCTGATAGTATTGCCTGAACTAACTGCCTCTGGTCCCATCTGAGTATAAGCATGTGCACCGATTGGTTGAATTGAGAGAAAGAAGAAAAACAAAATGTCGTGAAATTAGTAACATGTTGTTCAACCACAGTACTTCATTCCTGTAAAAACATAAAAAAAGTGCTGAATCCTAGAAACAAAGTACGATTTAGTACTCAAAGAATGCAAAAATAGTTCCAGACTTCAACGAGTCTACAACTGTTCTAGAATAGAGTTCTATTTAGCACAACCCTATGCATGAATAAAATGGGAGAAAATACCAGGCATCACCATGGTGACCTGGCATCTGGGATTTGTCAGGACCTGGACAACAGTGATCTCAATCTTAATTTTACAAAGGCTGCATTATTCATTGGCCTAAGTTATGCTTACTCTTAAAGTTCTTATAATAGGTGATTACATTAAACATACCTACAGAACATTATAGAATGCTGGAGTTTGTTTCTGCCTTGATATTCATATACTGAAGTAATAATAATATTTTTTTGTTGCTCAAACAGACTAAATGTCTAGATCTTTATACAGATGTTAGACCTTTCCACAGACGTATATGAGATGATACAATTTTAGTTTAACCCAGTTCATCGTAACTTAAGCTGTCACACCACAATGCATGCTTGATGCTACACAGAGTGAATAAAGACCATCAAATCTTGATTTTCTAAACTACAACCACAAAGTCCAGTTATAAATAATACAGAAATTTCAAAAACTGTGTATAAATTGCTCAATGCACTCATTTTACAAACACCTCAAGAACTGCTGCACAACTACAAGAGTCTGGCAACAGGTCCTAAATTTTGTCAGTTGTGTAACTTTTCACATTTCATATACAAGATCTCTAAACACCAAACCAAAAACTATACCTTGGGGCCAAGTCATCAAAAATGTGTTTCATATACAAGAGTGATATAATCTCTAAACACCAAACCAAAAACTATACCTTGGGGCCAGTCATCAAAAATGTGTTGGGCAATGTCTGCTGCTGAATCACTTGGAGTGAAAATGAATTCCTTTGTCTTCCCTGTTACTAAGATAAGTCTTAAATTGATCTATAAAGGAAAAAACAAGTTATTGATTAGTGATATTTTCATTAATGTAGTTAAATTCTATTTGAAGGAAATTTCAAAGGCCGGGCAATGATTTATCTTGGTGTGTATAATAAGCTTCATCTATCTGAGGACTCCATACTATCTAAAATAAACAGTGATATACTAATACAGAACAAAATTATGCAAAATATTCATAAAACAAAAGAATTTACAACTGTATCCATTTCAAATCAGATCAACAAAGCTACTGTTAAACATTGATATGTTTACAACATCCATGTCAAAACAGGGTTAGATATTTAATTTACATTATGCCATAATGCTAATGAACAAGGGTTTCTTAAATATATTTCATTTCATTACTTAAGAAGAGCAGCTTGAAACCTAAATAAAACAAAATTTTGTAATTCTTCTTCATTTAGAAAATGTTAATGACAGGTTTATGTACACTTTTTCTTCTTAAACATCTATCACAATAAATATGTCACTATAATATTACCTTATAAACATTTTATGGTTGAACTCAGCAAGAACTAACAGAATTCATGTCAAGAATTGTTATACTTCCTATTTTTCCACCCTCTGTTCACAGTCAATCAGCTTCATGTTTTACAAAACCTGGTCTTCCTCCTTCCCCATCCCCCATGTTCACAGTCAGTCTTCCTCCTTCCTCACCCCCTGTTAACAGTCCATTAGTATTCCTACTTCCTCATCCCCTGTTCACAGTCAACGATTCTTCCTATTTCCCCATCCCCTGTTCACAGTCAGTGAGTCTTCCTATTTCCTCATCTCACGCCTTGTTTATAGTCCATCAGTCTTCCTACTTCCTCACAATCAATCAGTTGCATGCTCTACAAAACTCCTGTTCATATGATAAACTAACAAGTTCAAACATTTGTCTTACACCCTCTGTTAGGACAAATCGTAGCACTTAATCTGACCAAGTCTGATAATGTTTCCTATCATGAAACTCAAGTGAGTGAGATATTAACTGTTGTTTCCAAGTTTTGGGGCACAAAGCAATAGAGGTTACATGCATCAGATAACTATTTTTATTTAAAACAATAAAGAAATGAAATATAAAAATAAATATACACCTTAAAAGGTTAAAACATTAAACAGATTATAAAGTGCCTATGGAATGAAAAAACAGTTACAAACATTATAAAGTTGGACTTTACAAATGGATAAACATAGATGACAATGAAAAGTGGACCGACTGTTTCTGAATATCCAAGGGAACTGGACGAGAACAAATCTCAAGTGATTCCAGAGCCTTCACAGAGTTAAACAAACCAGTATAATGTACCATACCTTATGTGGGGAACAGGTGATTGCATACAAACACTCAGCAGTAAATAAAGAAACAGTAGAAAGAATCCTGTAAGCAACAACTCGTTGCAACAGGTCATGGAAGACACCACAGAAAAATCTGTAAAAGTTAATGTGGAAGGATGGCTTGAGAGATGTTCAGTAAACAGAATTCAGAAATATCACATTTCTTCAGCTGACTCAAGAAAGATCTCAATACTAGTAATCCATGGATCAGCAATGTTATCCACTGTCAAGCCCAACTCATCACAATACAAATAATCCATGGATCAACAATGTTATCCACTGTCATGCCCAACTCATCACAATACTAATAATCCATGGATCAGCAATGTTATCCACTGTCATGCCAACTCATCTCAATACTAACAATCCATGGATCAGCAATGTTATCCACTGTCAAGCCCAACTAATCACAATACTAATAATCCATCGATTATCAATGTTATCCACTGTCAAGCCCAAATCATCACAATACTCATAATCCATGGATTAACAATGTTATCCACTGTCAAGCATAACTCATCATAATACTAATAATCCTGGATCAACAATGTTATCCACTGTCATGCCCAACTCATCACAATACTAATAATCCATGGATCAGCAATGTTATCCACTGTCAAGCCCAACTCATCACAATACTAACAATCCATGGATCAGCAATGTTATCCACTGTCAAGCCCAACTCATCACAATACTAACAATCCATGGATCAGCAATGTTATACACTGTCAAGCCCAACTCATCACA